GCGGAAACGCTTTCCCCAAGCTGGGAGAAACACCATCAGCTGGCTGGAAAAGTGAGGAAACTATTCTGGAAGGTTACAGCTGAAAACATCCTTTTGTTAAGGGATCCTTCCTCTATATACTGGGAGTCTGCTTCCTGGGAAGAGCTTCTGACCTCAGCACACTGTATGGGTGGCCGGAGGCTTCTCCTACACTCTGTCCTCTGATGGTGATCTTCTCTGAGAAGTTAGTGCTCTGGTGGAGAGAGACCTGGGTGACTCCTGTGCCCTGTTGTTCACATGGCTGTGCCATGTCTCCTCTGCCCTCCAGTTTTGTCACAGTGATGGATTGCAGCTCCCTCTGTGGCTTTCTCCTGTCTTGTTTATCTCAGAGAGATAAAAATTCACTGTTTGTTTTGGGGTTTTCTTTTTCCTTATCAGGCAATATTCAGCAAGCAGCATAGCCCTGGGCTAGAGGAGACAGGGGGACGTCTGCAGCAAGGGCTGGAGAAACACTTGCATTGAGGCAATTCTTACGGAGGGAGAAAAGTCAGGAGTTTGGGTATTTTTCCCCTGTGGTTCCTGCTGTATCCCACACTCTTGTGTTCCTTTGCCATCAGCTTTTGTTCCCTTTTGACAATGGGATGGAGGAAGCAGCTATGCTAGTCTTGTGACTGTCTCCCCTTGGATCATACTTCTTGTGCAGACTGTGGTTTAGACTTCTGATTTGGAGCAGTGGGAGCCAGGGTTCATACAGCAGTGACTGTGCTTTGTGCTGTGACTCCCTGTTGCCTTCCACAGTTGACAGCACCACATTTCCTTAGGATGGTGCTACTGTTTGGGGGGCTCCCTGTTGTATCATCCAGCTGTCAACGCCAGGCCAGGAGAAATGTACTGCAATGCACAGAGTAACAACTAGGTGCAGGCTGCTTCTCCACCTCCCCTCTGTGTTCTCATGGAAGCTGACCTGTATGTTGAAGTGATGCAGAGTTTCCATGCTTGGATGGCTTGGCCACGTATGGGGTACAGCATCTCTTCCTGACCAGATGAGATGAAACACAACTGACTTCTGTTGCTAAAACTCTGCTTAAACAAAGGTGTAACTTTTTCTTTAAAGCACTGTATTAATACACCAGGAATTAGAGCAGAAACACAAACGTTTGTCTTTAGAGACATCAGGACATTTGCCTGTCGTATTCAACATTCCCTATTTATCTTCCCTATTTACTTCCCCTTTGTTAGAGAAGGTTTAGAGAGCTCACAACTAAATCTCTCCAAATACCTCTCTTCCCTTCTGCCTGTCAAACATACCACTTGCCAGTTAAACCCTAGTGGTGTAGAGGAACCTTTGCTCCAGGACAAGTGGGGCACACACGCTGCTGCATGGCTCTGGATGTGCAGCTTGCTGTCCTCCAAGTCTCAGGTTTGTTTATCAGGACGGTGTCACTTTCCTCTGTAACAATATCCTTTCATCTCCTGGTTCACATGCTCCACTGCATTCTGGGATGGCCCGATACAAAGAGTGCCTTATTATGTTTGTGTATGTGTGATTCTGTTTTTTCCACATGGTTGACCTAGTGCCTTCCATGTCCTTGGTTATGCAATGGCTGCGGGCTGGTTAACACTGTCCTGGCCAGCACCACTGCTCTATGTCCTTTCTCCACATGGAGCTGGCTTCCTGAAGGCCTCTAATACATTCTGGGATTAGGAAGGTGACCCTGCCCATTCAAGAGTTGGGGGTGTTCACAGCCACAACTCTGTGTACTGGCTCCCGCTTCTGCCCTTGCTCACAGATGCTCTCTCTTCCTTTGGTCTGTGCGACACCACATATCCCTTTATTGAATATTTTTTGTTCTCTCCCCTTCCCCTCCATTGTTTTCTTGGCTACAGCTGGGCTTTGCTGATCTAAATCTGGCAGAATTTGCAGGCTCTGGATCCACTGTCCGTTGTTGCTTGCTGGAAGGATATGATACTAAGAACACCCGACAGGACAACTCCATCCTAAAGGTAAACAGCTAGTGCTGCCACAGTGGAAATCCTACTACTGAATTCAGAGAGATTACAGGCAGAGTGCAGTGCCAGGCCTGAGAGGAGGTTCTGCATTACGTACAGTGACAGGATTTAGCTTTTTATGCTGCTAGTCTGACTTGGGAAGCTTCCCATATCAGAGTTACCCTTTGATATCTTGGCATCCATTTGGCCAAGCAATGACCCTTGATGGCACTCTTTTGTCGTCAAAGAAACCATAAGCAGGAGGGGGGAATGAACCACTGATGCCAGTTATTTGGGACAGGGAGGGAAATACCTTCCTAAATCCCTGAAGCTGATTTCCTTTGGAAAGGAACTAGGTCTTGCTAATCTTTACACCTAGCCCTTGACCTCCTGGCTGTTGTGAAGTGAGGAGCTCACTGCAGCATGGCTAATGATGTGCCTTGTTTCCTCTCTCCAGGTCACAATCGGAATGTCCCTGCTCTCAGGGGACCCCTGCTTCAAAACGTGAGTTTCTGGGTGCTCATCCCATTCTGGGCAGACCAGGACATCTGGTTCCTTCACAATTCCTTGCTGGAGACCAAAATTGATAGGGAGGGGGGTAAAGATGCCCTTGATTGGGAAGTACAGGGGAAAGCTTGAAACTGGTGGTCTGGGTTGCTAAATAGCACAGCCAGCCTGTGCTGTTAATCTTCTCTCTGCTGTGGTTCTCCCAGCTCAGTTATTGGTTGTGCACAGTATTTTCTCTGTTAGTGTCAGTCAGGTTTTAGAAACCAGTGACTGTTGATGACAAACTTCATGTTTTGCCTAAAGGATAGAATTTCTCATAGCTCTGGGGTTGGTTTCACTGACCTCCTGGAAGGGAAAGGTCAATGAAGAAAACAAGCTTGGAAAAGGACACGCTTCAGCACATGTCACGCAGGATAAGGAGCTCAAAGTGAAAGAGCAACAAAAATACTGCAAGGCTGGAACGTTTTAATTCTCCTTTTTTTTTTTTTCCCTATAGGAACCCAGGTTCATAGTTTGTATTAGTTAGCAGAGAAATTGCAGTTGTGTACTTTTAATTCATCATGGTAGGAAAGAATAAGTACAGTTAAGCTATGAAGCAGTTTTATTGCTTAAGAATTGTTGGAGGATCTGCTGGCACATATACCAGCAACATTTGACTTGATACTGCACTATAGCATTGCAAGACTCACAGCCCAAGCTGTGTAAGGTGTCTAACTGTACACAGCAGGACTGCCACATGCTGATAGACTGTGTTGGCTCCCAACAGTATGAGAGAAGAAAGCTTTACCTTGAGGCCATCTCTTGTAGCTGTGGTATTCTGGGCTCAAAGGTCTAATTTTAGGAGCTAGCTTGAAGTGTATAAATCAGCTTGTATTCTTGTTGTAAAAGGCTGCATGATTTGGGGTAGGTTGATTTTTGTGAATGGCTTTTCATAGCGCTGCAGCATTCAAACCCTAAGTGCAGTGTCATCTGATTCTGCAAAATTTCTGCTTCAGAAGGAAGTGTAATAAAGAAGTTCTGGATCTCTTAAACCATAACTTTAAAACAGTAACAGATGTTTTAAATCTAGGGTACTAGGGTGGCTGGCAATAATATGTCTGACACAAATACTGTTGCTCCTTCGCTGTGGAAGCAAGTCCCACTGTTAGAGTGCCTGAAAATGATACAGAATTGGATCTAAATATCCATTTAATATAAAGTAGGCTCAGTATGAAAGTTAAACCTCCTAATTTTCTTAAAGGATTTTTACAGTCATTTCCATTTTTTCCTTACATGTTGATGATGTGCAACTGTCTGAAAATCGAAGCGTTGCGTGTAGAATAGCCCTTGATCAGTAAAGCTTTTGATAAATGGCGCTCATTAGAGGATTAGGCAGGAATTAAACTGTGCTGGGAAGCCACTTCCAAGCACTGGCTTTCTGCAGTGCTCACATGAACCTTCTCCTCCTGGGTGTCGTGGAGGGGGCAGAGTAGCCTGAGCTGACAGACCCAGGGGCTGCTCTGACATCTGCTGCAGGAACAGTTGCTTCATTAACACTGTAAAAGCCTCATTAACCTGCAAAGCAAGTCTCTGAGTACCTCGGTGCATGTAAACCACCAAGAACATGATTAGAGAGGGTTTTTTTCCTGGTCAAGGCATGCTGTGGGTTTCCTGAAACCTTTATAGCTATTTGGCTGCTCATAGGAAATACTCTCAGTGCTTCGTTATACTGCAAAGATTCTCTCATGTAGCATCTTCTCCGAGCTCCAAGTGAGCTCTTTATTGTACTGCAAAGATTCTCTCATGTAGCATCTTCTCAGAGCTCCAAGTGAGGCAAATAGAAGTTTTTATTTCTCATTCCTCACTTAAAAAGCATAATATGATCCATTAGTTCCAGTTCAGACTTCAGGCTACAGGGAGGTTAGGGCTCCAACAGGCATATTCACTTTGCCACACTACACATGATGTGGCTGCCACCCAAAAACACTTCTGGAAGGAAGGGAGGGGGCTCCAGGCACTCACAGTCAGCATTTACAAAGGGATGTTGGGAACACACAGAATAACCAGGAAAAATAATTCTGACAGCTGGAAAAACACTTTAGTTTCACTGAAAAGGAGTTTAATCGTCGGTTAAAAAACGGAAAGGTTATTTGATCATTGTCAAAGTACTCTCACAGGGGGATGGGGTTGCTGGGATAAAAGGTTGCTTTCTGACCCAAGTCAAAAGGGTATAATGAAGGGGTGCTGGAAATTGAGAGCTGAGCAACAGCAAACTGGTTCCTGTTTGGGAAGCCAGCTGGCCACTGGGCACGTGTTGGGGGAAAAGGGCAGCTCTTGATGGGCTTCTGGAGGATAGTGCAGGCTCTGAGCCCGTTGTCCTTATAGATGATTAAATGGCCTCTTCTTGCCTTAGTTTAAGTCAGAAACTTGCTTTTTCTTGTAATGCAGTCCACATGCAGGATGAGGTAGGGAAGACCCAAGTCTTGCATGTAGGAGCATGAAATCCAGTGTCATGCTAGTCACAGAGGGCTACCAGCTTCCCCCAGCACGAAGGGGAACACTCTTGACAGAGCAGAGTAGGGATTGCTGGTGGGATGGGGTGATTCCCAGTCCTTGCCTGGCAGTTTGTAAGCTTCTCCACTTGTGATTCCAGGCCTCCCTCCACCGCCAAATCCATCACCATACCGGGACAGGACTCTACCCTGCAGCTGACCTGTAAGGGCGAGGGAACCACGAGCAGCAGCAGCAGCAGCAGTTCAGCCACGATCGGCTCCCTGCGTCAGACCAAGCCAAGAGCTGCCATTCTCAGCTCGGGTATGAATGCCTGTCCTGGAGCCACGCAATGCTTGGCTGTGTCTGGGCACTGTTTTGCTTTCCCCACAGTTACAAGCACAGAAACTCTTTAATTTTTCATGTTTTCCCCGCACCCATTTTCACCCCTCTGCTCATGAAGAAGAACAAAACCATCTATGAAGTGTAACTGAGGAGAGGAAGGATGAGTCTTTGCCACGTGCATATTTGTTAGTGGAGATAAAGCAATTTGTTCATTTTGCTGGGGACTTAATAATTAATGCGTTGCACTCATCCCTGCTTTCCAATGTGTTCAAAGACACTTAACACTGTTCTCCACTCAGCTATTCTGTTGCTCAGACTTATCTTCTAGAAAAGTTCCTCTGAAGGTTTTAGAGGTTGGTTTGAGGTCTAATGGCCTTGTTCCAGCTGCTGATGCAGAGTTCTTCAGCTTCTCTGTGAGCCTGTTTTCAAGGGCACTGCATTTTCACGTAGCTTTTTTCCCTTCCCAGCACATTTGGAATGTGCAGGCAGATACACTGCACCAAAATAGCACTCCAGTTTCATTACCTCAGTGACTTAGCACACTGTGCAAGTACTCTTCTTAAAAAAACTGCTTAACATGTTATATTTGTGCACTTCTTGATATGCTTCCTGCATGAGAGACAAGCAGAGGTGATGGCAAAGGAGCAGAGGTTATGCTGAGGTTTCTCTATCAAATTCAGATGTGATTTAAATGGCACAGGCTCTCTCAAAAGTAATAGAAGGGGAAATGTAGTGACAGGAGAAGCACGCAAGTGGAGGTTGTAATACTTTACTACCAGCAGTCATTTGATGTTTTCTTGGGTTTTGCTTAATGCTTTTAACTATGGATAGCTTCAGACACTACCTGTCCTCCTAGATCCTTTAAGCCCCCAGAGGTGCTTGTACATTGAGACACTGGATGCTGGAATTAGTGATGAACTTGACAGAGAAACACTGTTGTCTTCCCTGCTCCCTAGCTCTTTCTAAGCTCTGTGCTAGCAGGGCTCTGCCAACGGTCTTGCCCTTTCCTTGGTCTAGCATCCCTGCAGTCCAATGTGCTGGCTTGGTTATGGTGTAAGCAGAGTGCCCTGTTGTTCCTTGGCAGGTGTCCCAGAAGAACCGGATCAGAACCTGTCCAGCCCAGAGGAAGTCTTCCACTCAGGGCACTCACGGAACTCCAGCTACGCCAGCCAGCAGTCCAAGATCTCTGGTAACTATTGATCTGCTCTGCTCTGCTCTGCCAGCACTGGCTCCATCCACTTTCTTCCCTGCAATGAGCTCTTGTGGGAGTGATTTGCAGCCAACTCTCTCACCCTGCTCTAATACCCAGTCTCCTGTGTAGTCCCTGCAGAGGAGCTCATAGATGTATGTCTAAACCTCTGTATATGGGAGCAGAAACACTGGTCTTAAGCTGCCCTGCCTGTTAACTGTGCTGTCAGGACAGGGGCATGATCTGGTTTGTAATCCCCATGTGTTGGCAGGTTACAGCACGGAGCACTCCCGCTCTTCGAGTATGTCTGACTTGACCCATCGCCGGAACACCTCCACCAGCAGCAGTGCGTCCGGGGGGCTGAGCATGACAGTGGAGTGTCCTGAGGGAGAGCGGGACCACAAGCTAGAGAAGCCACCTCGCCCCCCTAGGCCAGCCATTCTGCTGGATAGACCCTCCCGGTGAGTAACTGTGGAGCAAAGCCCCTTCCCTGGGCAGGTGAGACGGAATCTACTCGTTTGTCTTAGTGCAGCGGTAGGTTGGATAGTAGCCACTGAGGAGGAGGCTACTGCAAGAGATGCAGGACAGTAAATGAAAGTCTGTGTCTTGAAAATCTGAGTAAGTTTTCCCTTTGTTTCCGCTCCCAAGGAGGAAAAAGGACTCAGTGGAGAGTCACCCAACACGAGTGGATGACACCAGGATCGATGCTGATGATATAGTGGAGAAAATAATGCAGAGTCAGGACTTCACAGATGTCAGCAATACTGAAGGTGAGAGGAGGTCTCAAAGGGGATGTTCTTGGCTCTTCCTTTAGCAAGGCTGACAAGCTTTTACAGTCAGATCTGATCTGCTATGGACTCCCTTCCCTTTTGGGTAGCAATTTGCTTTCAGTGCTTGCTGGTTGTTTCTATGGTAAACAAACAAACTATATGGAGAGCTGCACATCCATTAGCAAATAGCGCTTGCTGCTGTTCTACACACTACAGCAGAGGCTGAGCACTAGCTAGGATGAGAGGGGAAAAATACTGCTTCTTTAGTGCAGTGGAAATCAGTTACATCAGCTCCCTGGCTGCTCTAGTGGCCTTCATCCAGGGTCAGCCCAAGGGTATTTGTTAAAGTAGGAGAGCACAAGTGGAGGGGAAACAGCACATGTCTGCAAAAGGATGGGAAGAAAGATGTGTCACAGTGTGCTGGTGATCAGGTCTGAGAGCCTAAAAGGGGTTTTCTCTACTGCAGCCACATCTGTTAATAAGAAATATCACTGCATTTGTTTGAATTTTCCAATTTAGTCTTTTTCATCTCATTGAGGTTTTTTGATAAGTTTTGAACTTCAGCCCAGCTTGTTATTCATGCTTCTGTAGTAACCATTAATCACCTTAAATCATTGCACATGGCAACAGTCTAATCAAATGGGGATTTACACCTCATTCAGCATGGGTTAAAACTAGTCTGACTGTAGCCACCTCTCACCAGCAGAACAGTCTGAGTTTCTCCTCCAGTGAGCCCACAAAAGCAGGATGAGGCCTCACATCTCATCTGTTCAGATGTGTTTAAGCTGACCAAGAACTTGGATCAATGGAATTGCCTTCAAAGAAGCAGCTGGAGGAGTCTCACTGGATTTATGTCTCTGCATTTACTCTTCCAAAGCTTAACACTCTGGTTGATTTGTACATGAGGCTCCCTTTCAGAGCACGAAGAGGAGTTCCCAGAGGCTCTGTTACTGTGGGAACACTACGCATTCACAAACACACTTGTTCCCATGTTGTGTAATGTCTCTGGGAGGGGAGCACCTGGCAGCCGTTGGTACTTCTGGATTTTGATGTCTTACTTGGTTTTCTATCCACAGACAGTAACCTGAGGTTGTTTGTGAGCAGAGATGGAACAACTACATTGAGTGGTATTCAGCTGGGAAACAGGTAGGCTTCCTGAAAGTGTGGCAGACAGAGGGGCTCCAGAGGGATCGGTTGGCTCTTTGTACCCAGGAAGCTTTCACCTTTTGCTACAGGAGAGCTCTCTAAACATCATGTGCTACGTGGTGGCTTTATTCCCACCTTAACACCCCTGGGATCCCTTTGGTGACAGGTTACAGCTGCACTGGGTTATGAATGCAGTTCTCAGCTGGAGCTACGAGGGATAATGTGAGCCTAGTTGTTAGATCCAAGAACAGAAGTAAGGAGTGAAAGGACAAAATGGTAGAGGTTGGTTCCTGTTTGCTGCTGTGCCCGCAGGGAGCTTTGCCTCCTGCTGGCCTGCAGCAAGACTGCAGCAGCCTGCTTTATTGTCCCTTTTCCTGCCTCCATCGTCGTTGAGGGCTTGTTCTCTCATGAAAGACTTCTGAACAAATACAGCTTTTCCTCGCTCGTAGTGCAGTGTCTTGGCTACTTGAGTTTGAATCTTTACAGCACCTTTTGAGGTTAAAAAACCACCCAGACAATAATGGTAACACAAAGATCTGTCAAGTTGGTGACAAATATGGGAGCACAGCAAAGCCAGGAACACTGGCTCTTTGTGCAGGATACTCCCCCTTTTCCTCTGTCCTTTAGGATTCATGTGTTACACCCAGCTCTTTCAATTGCTCTGGTGTCAGCTTGCCACGTAGCTGTCTGCTTTGTGTTATGAGCTTTGACTCCTGGCCAGACTGACTCGTTGGTTTCAGTCTTTCGTGTGGGGTTAGAGGGTGATGTTTGTGAGGGGAGAGCTCTGAATAAGAACTTGAAGTGAGTAGGGAAAATAACGTGGCTTTCTCCTCTTCTTCCCCACTGCCTCCCCAGGGTCTCATCTGGAGTTTACGAGCCAGTGGTGATTGAAACCCACTAAATGTGAAGAACAGGGTAGAGCTGCTGGAAACAGGCCCCCTACCCAGTCCGCTGCCACATGGATGCCAACCTTTACCTCTCTTCATGCAGCATTCCAGAAGGGATTTCTCCACGCCCCTCCCCATACATTTGCACTGCAGAACTACTCCGAGACCACTCCAGATCATGCACTTTTCCCTGAGTGTTGGCATTACCCTTCTCCACTTCCCAGTTCTTCCAGTGCCTGCCTTCCCCGTGTTCCTGTTCAGACGCAAGGTGTCTGTTGGGCTTATCCTTAGTCCTAGAGGATGTTGCTCATCATCCCTCACTCCACCCATTCACTTGCAGCAGGGGACTTCTCAGCTTCTGTCTCCCCAAAGCATTGGGTTTATACCACTGTGAACTCTTCAAACCACTGGGGGAGAGGGGGAAACCGTTCTAACCAAACCGAGAGCTGCTTGTGGGTGACACGGTGAAATGGCCACTTGCAGGATGCTTTATTCCATGGACTCTGCAAGGGAACATCACCTTCCAAGGCAACGGTTTTTACTGAACAAGGTATGCTGTGGTGTACACTTCACCTTCCTGCCCTCAAATCCACAAACGTCCTCTTTTCTCATAGGAAATACTTCCCAAAAGTGCATTTCAGAAAACTACCACAATCCAGATGGGAGTTGATAACGGTTAAATGCTGATGCTGTTATACCACTAACTGCATTACACCCTTCTACTGCTGGGCATGGAAGGGCAGTGTTCATCTGTTAGCATTAGCAGGAGCACTTTAGAGGTTCCAGATTTTACCTGGAAGAGGCTTCTACTTGCTGTTCCAGGAGTGTGATCCCTGTTTGCTGGCCTGATCCAGCAAATAGTCACTGTTGGAGCTTGGAATACAAAGCCTCTTTTTTTTTTTTTGTTTTGTTTTCTTCTTTTTTTTTTTTATTTTAGGCTCAGGAAGGGAAGTGCCCTTCTTGAACTGTGAAAAGGATCTGGTTGTCTGATAGCCCTCCGCTGGGCCAGAGCAGGGTGCAGTTGACTGCAGTGATCCTTCTGTTTTGGTGGTGATTAACAATTGCCTCTCTTGGCCTGTGCCAGTGAGGGAATTGGTGTTGGTAAGGCCTTTCTTGCCCTGTCAGTGGGGATCTGTGCCTGTGCTGGTTCTTTGTGGGGCTGGGGGGAAGCCACTGTCTCTGCCTTCAAAGGCAGAATTAGGTGTCTTCTGCTGCGTTAGCCACAGCAGCCGTTCCTGCCTGGTCTGTGGCGAGTGATCTCTGACAAGGCTTCAAACTGTTCTCTGGTTCATCTTTCAATCATTCCTCTTTGGGTTTGATTCCTGCAGTTGGTTGACACTTGAGCTGCCTCTTTTCCTTGCGGTGTGTGGCAGAGATGTCAGTGGGTCCCTTGCAGCTCCCACTTAGATTCTCCTGGCAGCTGAACTGCAGACGAGGATGTAGGCAGAGTCCAGCCAGGGGCTGTGCTTGCAGCCCTTCCTCTACAGAGACTCTCAGCTCGGAAGCTATTTCTGTGTAGTGCCCTTTCCTCTTTTGCCAGTGTACTGTAGTGCACTGGGAGCAGTGGCACCCTCCAGGGTATGGCTGGGAATGTGCCCTGCTCTGACACACGCATGTGTGCACACACACAGCACACACTTGTCCCATTCAGCGAGGAGAAACTCGTAACTGATCACGTTGTTCTTTTAATTCTTGGTTACTGGAAAGCCTTTTTTTAATGGGAAAACAAAAAGGAATAAGTATGGTCTCCGTGGCCACAATGCATGCAGATGAGCTACTGGAAAAGGGAATTTGGCAGAATGGGAAACAAGGAATGAAAGGACCTTGATTTATGTTTTCTCTTCTGCCCTGCTAGCTAAGGATGGCTGCATGGGGAGGGTGCTAGGCAGCATGGCAAAGCTATACAGCTCCTTGCTCTGTTTTGACAGTTTCTCTCTTTGAGTTGAGAGGTTTCTCTCTGTATTTGAACAGACCACATAGAGGATATGGATCTTTTTCACCCTTCAAAGGGAGTTAAATTTGGATTAGGGTAAGAAGGGGGTACAGGCAACACCTTGGTTTGGCTTAAAGTAGGGAAGAAGTACTGGATCTTTTGAGTCTGTCTAGAACAAAAGCTCTTTCACGCTTGCTGGAGGTTCTTAGTGGTGATCTCTTCATTCAGTCTGGGTAGGTTTGGCACTCACTCGCAGGCTGCTGAGCATCCTGCCCTGCTCCTGGGATGCTGTGTCTGCAGGAAGGGGAGAACCACTTGCTTTTCTCTCTCCCTGGGGCTTTGCCAGAAAGCCAGCCCCAGCCTGACCCTCTGCTCTGGTCAGGGTGAGGGCAGCAGCAGGCTCAGACAGCAATGGGTGTTCCACCCTGCCTGCAGAGCTGCTCCATAGCACAGAGCCCCTGCTGCTCCCCAGGGGCAGCAAAGCCCCTTGAGGGGAATCGGGTCCAACCAGGACTTGAAAGGAGCAAACATAAGCCAGGAAAGAGGCCAAAATCCAGCTCACTTGTGCTGCTCTGCTTCTGTTCCCATGAAAAACAATGGCAGTGGGCTGTCGGAGCACTTGGAACCCAGGGCTTTCTTCTGGGCTCCCTTGGCAGGATTCGGCTGCTCCGAGGCACTGGCAGCTCGGCGTGTCACGAAATCACCGGTGGGACAGACACACAGAGGGAGGAATCTCTTCCCAGCAAAGCAAGAGGAGAAGCAGTTCAGCTTTTCAGATAGCTGGTCTCATCTTCCCAGGCTCGCAGAGGCGTAACCTGCTCCATCCCATAGCTATGGCCAACCTGGGCACGTCTCTGGCTTCTTCTCCAGTGGCTTGGCACATCACCGCTTGTGGTTTTTGATAACTGTGTCTCATGGGGTATCTCTTCCTTGTCTCCACATTATTGACTCCACAGATCCTGGTGTTCATGTAGCTTTTTAGCTCTCCTACCCCTCATTTCGAATAAGAGAGCAGCTCTAGCCAGTCAGCCTGGTGCAGCTCAGCCAGGGCTGCGCGCCCAGAGCAGACCCGCAGGGAGGAAGGAGCAGTCTGATCCTATTCCTAGATCCCACACGGAGCTCCCACTGCTGTGCCCATTGGTGTGCACGGAGGCAGTGGTGGTGGCAGCGGGGTCCCTTGTCCTGCAGACTCGCTGCCTCCTCGGGAAGCTGCATCTCATGAGCACTTTTCTCCTTGTGGCATCGCTGCCCTCTGTTCCTCGGTGGACTTTTGAGCATCGAAGCAGTGAATCAGTTTCAGACCCAACCCTCTGGTTAGTTTCCTTTGGGGTTTTCTTTTTTGTTGTGAAGTTTATTGAGGGTTTTTTGTTTTTTTCTTTTTATAAACCCAGCAGGCTGGTGTTTGGATTTTTTGGGGGGGGTTTTTTGACTTGCATTATTGTTTCATTGATATTGTATTCCGGGGGGGGCGGCTGAAGGGGGAGGATGTTCTTCCCCACATTGTTCCCCTTCTCAGGGGATTCAGAGGTGGCTTAAACAAGTATAAAAGGACCTTATTGGCAAGACTCTGCATCCCCGTGGTCTGTGATGCTGGTGAGCAGGGCTGCTCCTGCCTGGCTGATCCAGAGAGCAGAGCTGGCCTCTGCTTTGGTCTGGGGGCCAGGTGAGATGTGTGGGCTCTGCTCAACCAGTTTCCGGACCTTTAGTTGGTGGAAACCCATTGCAAAGAGTTGGGAAATTCAAATGTAACTTCTTTTTACTAACTTTCTTTCCTTTTTAAACCAATATCAACTGAGTGAATGTCCAAAAGAACAGGCTTAGCTGTGACTTGGTGAAGGAGACGGCTTTCAATTGGAAATTGTGATGGGGGGAAAAGAATGGGGGAGAAGGATGTTGTTCCTCCATCATCTTTTGTATGGCCAGCACTTTAAATGGGGGCCCTTGTGCTGTCCTGCCGCTCGGCGCGACGGGCAGCAGCAGGCGTGTGATCTCTCCCCCTCCTCATCCTCCTTAAAAATAAGCCCTTTTTAATGATTGCATCACTTTTTAGAGGGTCCCAAGACCTGCAGAACACCCGTTTCAGTCTCATCTTCCATAGGAGGGGGGGTGACTTCTTATTTATTATTGTCGCTGTTTCTTTTTAACCCGGTGGCACCTGCAGCTGGACTCTGCACGTGCAACATGTTGTGAACCTCTGGGAAAACCTCACTCCAGGTACGCTTAGAGCACGTAGGTTAAAACACCCCTCCTGGAGAGGGGGACACCCCCCCATCCTTTGCTCCCCTCCTCTCGCTGCCTTACCCCCGGGAGCTGCAGATCCACCCTCCAACCCCTCCTTACCCCATCACCTCTTGCTCCGGTGACAGCCCTGTTGGACAAGGCTGGTCCCCAGGGGGCAAGGACCAACAAACGCTGCCTGGTCGCAGGTGTTTGTCCTTGAAAAGCCACTTCCTCGCTGGGGTGTGAGCCCCAGATTCCCCCTCGCTTCCCTCCCGAGCCTGATTCCCTCTCCATGTTGCATCGCCCCTAACCCATCAGGAAGGGAGCGGACGTGGAAAACTGGGAAGTAACAAGGAATTCGGATGCGGCTGAGCCTCGGAACTTGTCTCAAACATAAGGAATAATGGTAGAGCCCGTATTTTTGTGGGGGGCGGGGGGGAAAGGGGAGATGTTGGTTTATTTTCTTGGAAGCGAATCGAGCTCGGTGATGTTCAGCGGAGGCGCGCACTTGATTTCTATCAGATTCTATAGAGAGATGGCTGATATTTTTGGAAAGGGAATGAATGGGTCTATGCAAACTTCCAAAATGGCTTGAAAATAAAGATAGTTTAACATTTTTTTTACTTTGAAATCTAAAGAGAAAAATAAATCTAACTTTGTTTCTTAAAGTGCGTTTAGAAAGAGAAGCTACTTCCACTGCTCTATTTTGATGATGATGATGATGATTCTTGGAGAGTTTGGGCTGGAGGGAATGACTATTTTTCACCATTTTTATCTTGCTCCTCTAGTTTTGGGGTTTGTTTCTTTATTTTATTTTTTTTCTAACGGAATGCTGTGCCGTCTTTGATTCAACAGATCGTGTTTGTATTTTCTGTATCTGGTTCCTAACGTAGAGAAATAACAAATATATGAGGAAAATCAATATAATGTCAAACGTTGTTATGGTTTGGGGGGGGGGAAATAAAGGTTTTTTTTTTTGGTACTTCACACTGATTCCTCTCACTTTATTCCTTGTTTTGAGTGTACTTAAGGGTAAGGAAGCAGGAGGGTGCGATAGTGCCGGCGGGGGTAGGGTTTGGCTTTGCTTTCCAGCATCGCCTTGGTGGCTGGGATACAGGACACGGGTGTATCTGGTGCTGGGGCCCGGTTTGAGCCCTTCGGGTCCGTAGATGACACCAGCACAA